CGCAGGCGCGGCAAGTGTGTCTGTGTTGACCAGGCGGGTTTTGGCGGACGGATCGACGAGATCACGCAGCCAGCAGCGGCCTTGGCTTGTACCCAAGCAGATCTGTTTCATATTTGGAGACTGGGGGATCTGGCCATGATGATGCTGCTTGATCCCGTTGATATCGGGGATTTTCAGAGAGCGTACTGCAACCTCCGGGGTACCGCACTTGAGGTGGCCTGAGTATATGAGGTTGTTGGAAAGAAGCATGATGTCTTCGCACATGCGGTATTGATGCTCAAGGTTGACGACCGACTCTGGATGGGCATCGGAAAGTAACTTGAAAAGACTGACGTCAAGACCCCCTTCTTGAGCTTCTTTGTTCTGCACCAACGGCGGTAGCTGATAGTGATCACCGACAAGGATGAAAGTCCTTGCCATTCGGATCGGGCCTAGACACACAGGAAGTGTGATCTGCGATGCTTCATCCACAATACAATAGTCGAAGATTCTCTGGCTGAAGATGCTGTGGCTGACCCCGAGGCAGGTCGTTGCCACCACCTGGGATTCTTCGTACGAAGCCTTGAGCTCTTCAATAGTTTTCTTCGGGATGGCCGCGAGGTCGGCAAATTGCTGCACATCTGGATGCACCTTCGTAGGAGCCCCGACCCGCAGAATGCGGAAGTTATCATCCCGGATCTTCAGCAGAATATTGTCAACAGCAGTATGGGTGTAAGAGGTGAGCAGAACACTTTTCCCTTGCGCGACTAATGCGCGAATTATGTGGGCAATGGTCGTCGTCTTCCCTGTTCCAGGCATCCCAAGTACCAACGCATAGTCTCGGGCACTCATGACTTTGTCGATCGCTTGTTTCTGGTCGATGTTCAAGTTCGCCTTGTCAACACCAGGGAGTATATAGCCAGACTCCATGGGTTTGAAGGAGGGGGCTTCACCCTCAATAATCAGTCTTCGTAACTGCTTGGCTTGGAAAAGGTCCTTTTCCATCATGGAAACAAGGTTTGTGCGGACAATTGCCATGCCGTTACTAAACTCGTCCTTGTCTAGGCGATAAACAGTTTCTTCGTCCAATTCGACTGGCGGGGAAGAGACACCTTTTCCGAGTATCTCCATGATGCCTTTGAATGACTGGTTGTGTTCGGCATCGAAGCCCTTCATCCGCGTCCTGCCGTGGAGCTTTCGATCAACCGTAACAGTGATGCGTTTCGCGCTGACCTGAACGACATAACCATTTGCAAGCGCAAAGTGACCTCTCTCATCGGAAACCACAATGGGCTCGCCTATGCTCAGCTGGGATTCAGTGAAGGAGAAACCCGGAGGTGCTTGCTTCTTGCGGAAAGTGTATCGGAACCGGTTGATCTTGGGTCCATCCTTATCTTCATAGCTATGATCAGGATCGATCACAACATTGCCAAAGCAGCGGCCGAGAGCTTCGCGCTCACTACTCAAGAGCGTCCAGAGCTCGCGTTTGAACCTGATCATGCTTTGTTCCTCCTTTGTCAACAATTCATCCCATTTCTTAAAGAACTCCTGGTGCTGTGGATTCAAGTGTTGGGTAGCTTTAACGAAATCGTCACCAAGACCACTCGTTTCTCCATCACCGTTATCAGCAAGCTTGTGGTAGATGAAGCAAGCTGTCTTCGAGTAGCACTTGTTACAAAATGCGGCCTTCTTGACCATTGGAGGCAGCTGGGTTCTTTGGCGCATGTACCCGACCACACGGTTTCGTTGTTGAATCATTTGAAGAAGCTCATGGCGGATGCCACGAATACGGAAAATCTTCGATGTTTCAAGATAGTACAATAAGCCGAATGTGCAATCGATGTCTAGCAAAAGGATAGTGAGCGGTCAGATTCAAGATCAGGATACATGAAAATCTATAGGTGTTCCAGCCTACCATAGCGATCCGAGAGAAGCAGTGTGTAAAGTGCGGTTTGAGCCCGATGAGCTTGGTTTGTGTCTCTATTGCCCGTCTTCAGTTCGAGAGGTACAAGCAATGTCTTGTCCTGCCCTTGTTCTGAACAGGCAACCTGAACCGTGGCATCGATATTACCTTTGAGTCCGTACATCGGAGACCAAATATGCTCTTCAACTTCGAGAAGCTTATTTATACTCAAGCTAAGCTTGGAGTTATGTCGATCCTCGACGATCGATTCCCCCTATGATCAATTGTCAGTATTGCGCCTCGGTCGGAGGGAGACTGCACTCACGCTTGGCTTCGGCTGGAGAAAGCGTTCTGCCCAATCCTGCACGCCTGGAACTCTGCTCATAACATACTCGACGGCTTCCGCGACAGTCATGCGAATCAGGTATAGATCCTCAATCCGCTTAACGATCACATCCTCCACCAGTAGCCTTAACGAAGCCGTATCCCATCGGTTAACCTTGATAGCTTCTTGGAACAGCTCGTGGAATATGTTGCCAAAGACCTGTGCTTTTCCCACATCGGTTGTGTTTTTAATGCGTTCCTGAAGAGCAGCACGACGCTGGCAAGTGATCGAGTCGGCCACGATAGTCGCCGATACCAGATGATCCGGATGAAGTATCACCATGTTAGCAGTATCGTCAACTACGCATTGACCCCTGGCGTCAAATTCTCCGATCAGGTGAATATAGGATTCCTTCGTACACGGGCTATCGAACCATGACTCCCGAAGAATAAGCACTTTCTTGTCTTCCTTGGCCCGCTCAGCTTGTACAAGGAGCACCTGTTTATAGTGTCAATAATGGGTGGGGGCATTGAGGGCGTGCAGGTGGGCTGACCTGTTCGGGTTGGACACGTCCTCTGGGGTTGGTATACGCTGACTCCGCAATTTCAACAATCAAATAGCGCTTGATAGCTTGTCGACTTCTAAGGTTCTAGAGTAGGCATACTTAGCATATTGATAACGAGCATTGATTCACTAGGAGAGACAAACATGATCCGTTCCATCTACTCCTGATTGCCTCATAGAATGTTCGATAGCATCCATGTCTAAGCTACCATCATCAAACTCATCACCAGAGGAAATGTCAGGGTCCTTTTTCGTCTCATTAAGTGATCCAACTGCGGATGCAAAATAGCGCTGAGGTCCAGTGCCGGACAGTGGCTGTTCCGGCACATTTGGCCCCTTGGGTATGGGCCTTGCAAGTTTCACGCTTGGCGCCTTATCACACTCGGCAAGAAGATCTTCTATATTGTCGGAAAAATCATCAAAGTCATCATCGAATTCGTCGCCGTTAAGTTCGAACTCGTTGTCATTTGTCATGGTCGCATCCACTTTTGAAGTGGCTGTGCTGGTAGCAGCAAAAGTCACCCTCTTCTGGAGGAGGGGAGCCCCTCCATTCGGCGGCATTGATGTCGACGTGGCAGGCTGAATATCCTCTGCAACATCGCGCGACGGGTTGGGATCCACGAAAGGATCCATTGAAGCTTCTGCAAGTTCAAGAAAGTCATCATCGAAGTCATCATCTCCATAGTCCGAAGACAACTCGTCGACAAATTCTGTAGTCTGCGGCGCGGTCTCAGCCCCAACGGGAACAATCGCGTCCTCGGTCTTCTTAGGAGAGCAGCTAGGACTTCTGCCTTCTGTTGGGGACGCCAGATGACTTTTGGATGTGTTACCGCGCTTTGGGACTGGAGAAGAGTCCGGCGCAAATGATCTTTCAGGAACTTTTTGCAGAGTCTTCTCCATCTGCTTGACGAGAGTGCTGAGGTTAGAGGCTTGATTGTTGCCCGAATCGACGACATTGCTCCTTGTCCTAGAGAAGATGCTGCGACCCGTACCGAACCTTTCGTTATCGACTCTTCTCCGCTTCGCCTTGGAAGTAGGCCATTCGGCATTGCAGCTATTCGACCGTCTCAGCCCGGAAGAGCCTCGGCCTGTTCGGGCTGACACAGGTGTCTGTGGGGAAGATGAAAGCAAATGCGCAAATCGTGGTTGAGCAAGTTCGCCAGTACCATTGGCAAGGGACTTGCCCACATAGTTGTTCCATAGTTCGGTGGCAAGGTCATGCTGGGGCGTTCTGATCAAGGATTGGTCGTTTGGCAAGTCAATCGATTCTCTCCGCTTGCTTTTCGAGGTTGCGGCCAAGGGGGAGCTCGTTGGCGACGAGTTGCGGCGACGCTTCTTGCCGTGCAATGCAGGTGTTTGCGACATTGGATCGGCATTGGAGCTCGCAGGGACATGTTGCCAGGTGACGTAGTCTTCAGGCGTAAACTCTTGCCCCGGGGCACTATTGAAAGCATCCTCGGCATTGCTGATTAGATCTGCGAGTGGTATTCGATTTCCTGGTGTTTGGGGACATTCTTTGATAGGCTTAGATTCAGTTACTTCGATCGTAGGTGGGTTGATTTTCGATTCTGGTTGCTGTTTTTCCACCACACCATTCAGCCACGATGTTTGATTCTCCTTGTTGGCATGGTCTGTGGTTGCCGTCTTCTGAGGGGTCTTCTCTGGGTTTTGTGCGTCTTTGCTGTATCGAAAAGCGTTCAATTTCGAGCGAGACTGCGAAGAGATTTTGTACGCTCCTGGGGGTCTGTTCATGGTGTTCATTGCTGGTTGTGATCGTGGAGTCGGAGATTAAGCCGACATCGCGATCACGGAAGTCTGTACAATATCTTTAGCAACGGAGCGGAGCGCTGGATGACGATGGATGGCGCGGAAACAAAGTCGTTGATTGTACCTACATTCAATGGTTAATTGATAGATTCTTGCTGAGTAAAGTGGTAGAAGAGGGCAAGAACTGGAGCAGTCGAAACAGGCTCAACATAACTTGGTAAATGCATGTGTAATGAATGGCAGCTCAAATGCACGCACGATGCGATAAGCCGATCGATCTAATTAGTCCTCAACGCGTCGCGCGTCGAGTGTTCCTGCCTCAGGTGTATCTGTGGGCTATGGAGTTTTTGCCTGTAATCCCAGGCAGAAAGGCGGTCCAGGAAATTTGCCCAGTTGGGACTAGTGGCTATGACCCCAGCAAGTCATCGGCCTTTTGCGGCTTCTGAACATCAACCGCTCGACCGACTCGTCACCCCTCCACCTAGCTCCTCCTATCGCTCCGACGAAAGAATTCGATCTCGAAGTCGCTCAATTGACCCGACTATTACCATCGCTGGTCGACCGGATTGTTGAACTCGGTGCTCCGTGCCATCAGCCCCTGCTTCATCGCCTCAGACAGGGATCCTCACCCGCCACCGCCTGTCCCATCTTGTCCAGCTTGAGGTTTCCCTACACCTCAACAGTTATACGCCACATTCACAATGTCTGCTCGCCCATTGTCGTCTTGCCTTCGCGCCCGGTGCTCTGCCCTCCGGGCTCAGAATGTCCAGGGTTTCTCGACCCGCAGCAACCTCCGTGCCGCCGACCACGGTGACCACTATGATCCCCCGACTGGATACCTCTTTGGCCTGAAGCCTGGCCAGAAATATCAGAAGGAAGGCTGGGAGAACATCTGGTATTACGGATTCATCGGCAGTCTGCTAGTCACCGGCGTCGCATATGTTTTCAAGCCCGACACCTCGTGCGTCCAACCCTCGCCCATTTCCCCAGGCTCCGCCGCTAGCTTCCTTGTCACACGGAGCTATGCTGACAGGGTCACTTTGCTCTTTCCTTGCTGACCGTTACTTTCAGGATACAAACATGGGCTCTCGAGGAGGCTCGCCGGCGGCTGGAGGCCGAGGGCATCTTGGAGGACCCCGACAAGGCCCAGCGCAAGTAAAGCGCACTAGTCCAACTTCTCCCTTGTACTTTGTACATAGATTGGCCGGGCGTGGAAGACGGTTGTTGATTGAATGGTTACACGTGTTATCAGGCACATTCCGGTCCGATCCTAGACAGGGCTTTCCATTTCACTGTTCGCTTTTCTTTCCTTTCTTTCCTGTTACCTGCGTGTGTCTTGTCGTCTTATATCCTTTCATTGGCTCGCTTTATGAACTTAGGAGCGGAAGAGAAAATAAATCAAGACTCTTTGATCACAATCAAGTTATGCAGTCATTATAATACCTTCTACGAGTGGTAAGGAAATCTCTCAGCCGTGGACCATGCTTTCAACGATTGGTAGACAAATAGATGTGAGGCCGTCCCTTCTGTACAAGGTTGCTTTCGAGGGCTATACCTGCGGATATATATCCGTACGTCTGAGTAAGGGCATTTCTCTTCGGACCTTCGCAAGAAGCTCCAAGTCAATGTCAGCAACAGCGATTTGCGGTTCCTCATACTCATCTCCGAGACTCGCTACCACTTCACCCCACGGATTCACAATTAACGAGTGGCCATAGCTGACGCGCTTCTCGTTGTGTGGTCCTGCCTGTGCAGCTGCTACAACATATGACTGAGTTTCGATAGCTCTAGCCCGCAGAAGTGTCTCCCAGTGCGCTCTACCAGTGGGGACCGTAAAGGCGGATGGGTAGGCGATGATCTGGGCATCCTGTCGCCTGAGAGCCAGACTGAGCTCGGGGAAGCGCAACTGTGAAGTTTATCAGTCGAGATGAACTTGATCCGAAGGTAACGGCATATGACTTACGTCAAAGCAGATAGATAAGCCCACGCGCCCAATGGGCGTCTCGAATGGCGGCAAGATCTCCATGCCCTTTTCAACACTCCTGTACGTTGAATGTCAGTGAGATGGGTTCAGCTAGCAGCAACTACAGGATTCACCCACGCGCTCTCTTTCAGCACTGGGCCGCCTTTGATATCGACGTCGAACAGGTGAACCTTCTGGTAGCGCTGTATTATGGAACCCTTATCATCGATCCAGATGAGAGTGTTCTTCGTCCTATCATTGGATGCCGGTTCATGAATTCCGACATTGATATGAAGCTTGGCTAGTTGAGCCTCTTTCTGTAGACCTAGGACGAATTCACTATCTTGCACGGAGCGCGCAAGAGATATCGTCTCGGCAGGCGAGGAACCAATATAATCTGAGGCTTCGGGGAGAAACAACGCCTGGTATGACTTATATTAACAAGAAGTATCGGAATGTATCCTCGTTGGTCTTACTTTTGCTCCAGCTGCAGCTGCTTTGCGAACCAGCGTTTGGCATTGTGCCAGATTGGCTGCCAGACTCGCAGTCGAGCATAGTTGACCAACAGCCTATAGCATCAAGGCACATGTATCAGTGAAGTGATGCGATTGAATACATAAAGAGCCAAACTAAGAGCCTACTGCAAGAACCATATTCAGCCGACTATCAGAGTCTGAAACTTCGTAGACAAGTACAAACAACAATATGCGTCAAGTGGGAGAGTGATGGAATATGTCTTCTTATCACGGCATCGCTTAGTTAGTAGATGCTGCCCGCAATTACGTCGGCAGACTTTCCCGATCCGGGCGCCGACATTGCCATCCCGCTTCAAATCCGCAGAACTGGGCGAATTTCCGCCGACAGCCACCACCAACCAACCAACCATCTAACATTTTTGTCGCTTCGATACACAGCGCTGATCACAAGCGCAGTTGCGACCCAGACAGAATGAAGAGCTTACGAAGAGATCTCTCCTCGAACCCGCAGGCTCAAAATGTCACCAGCAAAATCTTCGTCCGGTCCACGAAAAGTGGGAAGGTGCAAAAGATCGTTCGCGAGCTCTATCTGAGACAGGATATTCCATGCTCGTCGAAGCTTTGCACGGTGTGTCCGTCAGTTGCGCCTGCGGATGCGAATGGAAACAGTGAGCAAGAGACCTGCGGCCCTTGATTGACGGTGGAAACTGGCTAATGCGACGAATTAATCTCTTAGTTACGCCGTTCGTCCTCTCCGAACAACCCGCGGGCACCAAAGCTTTCCCTCGTGGCCATTACCTCGTTCCTGATACAAATGCGCTGCTGAATGGAATGGATCTTTTCGAACACACCGGAGCCTTCTACGATGTCATCATTTTACAGACCGTCCTCGAGGAGCTGCGGAACCAGTCCCTCCCCCTCTACAACCGTTTGCTTGCGCTGATCAAAACCGACGAGAAGCGCTTCTATCTGTTCTTTAACGAGTTCCGCCTGGAGACTCATGTTCGACGTGGCCCCGACGAGTCGATCAACGACCGGAATGACCGAGCCGTTCGAGCCGTGGCGAAGTGGTACATGGGACATTTGCTGTCGACGGCCAAGAAGGCCAAGAAGGAGCGTTCGATCCCGGCGATCGTGGTCATTACCGACGACAAGGAGAACTTGCGGAAGTCGAAGGAAGAGAACATTACCGCGCTGTCACTGACGGATTACGTCTCGGGTCTGGAGGATTCCGACAGGTTACTGGACATGATCAACGAGTCGAGGGAGGCGAGAGAAGCCAAGGGCGCACGCGGCGAGCTCTTCTACCCCGAATACTACACCATGTCGAAACTCCAGACGGGCCTGAGGGCGGGAACATTGCACCAGGGTGTTTTCAACGTTTCGCCGTACAACTACTTGGAGGGCTCAGTTAACGTTCCAGCCTTTGACAAGCCTCTACTGATCCTTGGCCGCGACAACAGCAACCGAGCTATTTCTGGAGATGTCGTTGTGATTGAAGTGCTGCCTAAGGATCAATGGAAGACACCATCGACCAAGCTTGTGGACGAGGAAGCTGTGACCAAGAATGACAACCCAGATGCCGAGGATAACGAGGCGGTTGTCACTGAAAGAGAGCGCAAAGCGTTGCAGGAGGAAGTCAAGAAAGCCCATGGAAAGAACTCAGAGGGTAGACCACAGCCAACGGCCAAGGTTGTTGGAGTGATGAAGCGGAACTGGCGGCAATATGTCGGTCATGTCGATTCAGGATCAGCAGGTTCCCAGACCAGCTCGAGTCGACGACAGCAAAATGTCTTCGTTCTGCCCATGGATAAGCGTGTGCCAAAGATCAGACTGCGCACTAGACAAGCTGCCGATCTCATAGGCCAACGCATCCTGGTCACTATTGACGCTTGGGACCGCGATTCACGATACCCGACTGGACACTTCATCCGGTCATTGGGAGAACTGGAAACCAAGGGAGCCGAGACGGAGGCCTTGTTGCTTGAATATGACGTTCAGTACAAGCCCTTCCCCAAGGCCGTCCTCGACTGCCTCCCTGCGGAGGGTCATGACTGGAGAGTGCCCGCGAGCAAAGACGACATTGGCTGGAAGGGGCGGAGGGATCTTCGAGACCTTCTTATCTGCAGTATCGACCCCCCTGGCTGTCAGGATATCGATGACGCTCTGCACGCACGACCATTGCCGAATGGCAACTTCGAAGTCGGTGTTCACATCGCCGATGTCTCACATTTTGTCAAGCCCAACAACGCGATGGACCTCGAGGCCTCGCAGCGTGGAACCACGGTGTACCTTGTCGACAAACGTATTGACATGTTGCCGCACTTGCTCGGTACCGATCTGTGCTCCCTGAAACCCTACGTGGAGCGGTACGCCTTCTCCGTCCTGTGGGAAATGACCCCCAACGCGGAGGTTGTGTCCGCCGATTTCACCAAGTCGGTGATCCGGTCCCGCGAGGCCTTCAGCTACGAGAAGGCCCAAAAGCGGATCGACGACCCGAAGCAGACCGACGAACTCACCGAGAGCATGCGCACCCTGCTGCGCTTCTCCAAGATCCTCCGCCAGAAGCGCATGGACGCCGGTGCGCTGAACCTCGCCTCGCCCGAAGTCCGGATCGAGGCGGACAATGACGAGGTCGGCGACCCGCTGGCCGACGTTAAGACCAAGGCGATGCTCGAGACAAACAGCCTGGTCGAGGAGTTCATGCTCCACGCCAACATCACCGTCGCCACCAAGATCTACAGCACCTTCTCCCAGACGGCCATGCTCCGCCGGCACGCCACGCCGCCCCCGCAGAACTTCGAGGAGCTCATCAACCAGCTCACCAAGAAGCGCGACCTGCGGCTCGACGTGTCCAGCTCGCGAGCGCTGGCCGACTCGCTCGACCGCTGCGTCGACGCGCAGAACCCCTTCTTCAACACCCTGGTCCGCATCCTGGCCACGCGTTGCATGACCTCGGCCGAGTACTTCGTCGCGGGCGCGCACGCCGAATCCGAGTTCCGGCACTACGGCCTGGCCTCCCCGATCTACACGCACTTCACCTCGCCGATCCGCCGGTACGCCGACCTGCTGGTCCACCGCCAGCTGGCCTCGGCCATCGGCTACGAGGGCGAAGACGGCCGCGCCGTCGTCGAGGGCGTCATGACCCGCAACCGTCTCGAGGACATCTGCCGGAACATCAACTACCGCCACCGCAACGCCCAGTTCGCCGGCCGCGCCAGCATCGAGTACTACGTCGGCCAGGCGCTCAAGGCCCGCGGCGAGAAGATGGCCGCCGACGGGGTGGACGGCGGCATCGAGGAGGAGGGCTACGTCATGCGCGTCTTCGAGAACGGCGTCGTCGTCTTCGTGCCGCGCTTCGGCATCGAGGGCGTCGTCCGCCTCGAGGACTTCGTCCTTCCCAAGGACGCCGCCCTGCGCACCGTCGCCGAGCGCCGCGAGCTCGTCGTCCGCCGCCAGAGCGACTTCGACAGCGAGGAGTACACCCTCCGCGTCTCGGACAAGGGCGACGCCGACCAGGCGCACGGCGTCTCCGTCGAGCTGTTCCAGAAGGTCAATGTCAACGTCAGCTCCGTCAAGGAGGAAGGCGGTCGTGGCGCTGGGAAGCGGAGAGTCCGCATCTTGATCTTGGGCCAAGGCGCTTGAACAAACTAACACACAATACAAGGGGGGGGAAAGTGAAATTATCTATCGATTTATGACTGGCATAATATCAGAGGATTCGGGCGTCTACCGGTGTCTCGCACGTAGGATGACTGTACTAGATTTAGTTGTGTTCAATCTAAAATTTCTATGCGGTGTAACAATATCCGACATCTTACGATCTTGTACATCTTCGACCTTTAACTCTTCCCCCTTCTCGGTACTGATTCTCCACACTATACTCTCTGCAACGACACCATCCCACGCAACAAGCCGACCGGAGACCAAAGGTGCGACTTTGACACTCCTCGAGTTGTTACCTGGTGGTTCATCTCCGTCGCACCGGTTTCGATCTTGGAACCCCCGGGGGTATCCTTGACCCCGGTCTGAGGAGACGAATCAATCGGCGAATTTTCGGCCGCTGCTTGCGCTATTTCCCTAATCTTCCACCCCCGGACTAGCCAAAGACACAAAGCCGCGCCTATGTACATGAAACCAGTGAAGATCTGCACGCGCAGATACGCCGCGTCGCCAGCGTGATTGTTGCGCAACAGCAGGGCAATCGCCTCCGACACGGTGCAAGGGGGCACCAGCACCAGCCAAGTGATGCTCAATCCGCTGGGCAGATCCCGAAGCCCGATGATCTCGCTCGCGACGGGGGCGACGGTCGCCCAGTAGGTACCAGAGACGGTGCCGACCAGCACAGCAAAGAAGCAGACTACGCCCATACTGCGCGCAAACGTCCAGATGACGAGACAGAAAAGACCGCACAGGAATGTGAGGAAGGCGGCGATGTTGATGCGGCCGAGGCGGTCGCTGAACATGCCAACGAAGGGGCGGCCCAGTCCTTGGCCGAGATTGAGAAGGGCGCTTACCACACTACCCTGGTGGGAGGTCAGGCCCACGGAGAGGGCGAAGTTGGCGACGCTGAAGAGCAGAGCAACGTAGCCAAGCATGCTGAAGACACCCCAGCCCAGAAACAGCAGGAATTCCGGTCGCTTGAGGAGCGGCAGCGCAAAAGCCTGGTGCCGGCTGCCCACGGCCTTGTTGCGATCGCGCAGGAGGTTGGCGCACACCAGGTTGACAACGCAGGCAATGATGCCGAGGATCCGAAAGGCCCAGGGCAGGCCTAGGCGAGGGATCATAGTGCCGACGGCGAGCGAGTACATGAGACCACCGAGGCCAGACCCGGCGGCGTTGATCCCCATGGCCAGGCTACGGCGCCGTGAGAACCATTGCGGGATGATACCGACGGTGCCGACGAAGAGAAAGCCCATGCCCCAGCCAAAACAGACACCTTGACTGAGAAAAATGTGCCATCGTTGGGTTGCAAATGAGGACCCGATGAGCGAGAGCGTCTCAAAGAACACACCCAGGTTGAGGGTCAAGCGCGTGCCGAAGACATGAATAAGGTACGTGGCCACGGGGGCCACGAGAAGCGCGCACGATATACTCAAGCCACCAGTAAAGGCATAGGAGAGAGCGGAGGTATTAGGGAACACATCATGGGAGAGGTAGTAGGAGAGAAACACGCCGTAACTCTATATTGGTTGGTCAGCCGTCGGATTTTCCCATATAAATGACGACTACTGACGCTGTTGATGCCCCAGGTGTGGGCATTGATCCAGAACACACAGGCAACACAGACCCAGCCATATCCTCCATCCGGAGGAACGTCTTGCTCATACTTGGACTCTGCGTCCAGCGGGGCAGACAGTTGTGGATTATCCAGATCAGACGATGGTTCTAGATTCGGATCGCTATCCTGTCGTTGTGAACGAATGGTGTCGATTGGAGCATTATCTGCCATGATTAATCCCACCCAGCCTGCAAGGATAGAGTTCCGAGAAAACGAGTCTTAGGTTGGACCTCGTTGGTTGATTTCTATCAAGTTCACGATGCAGAGCGCAGTGCGGATTTATCCCAGATGCGTGTCAATCCCAGCCATGGGCCATGAAGAAGTGGACCAGACGGCCAGGAAGAGGAGAACAAGTGCATCTCGAAGGACGAAGGGGAGGAGTCAAGCAGAGATAGAGGCTAAAGCGAACGATGTGTCATTGATCCATCCTTCTACTAACGAGATTTGGGCCCGATTCTAGCCAGTCAAGAACGATTAACGGGCATCAGTCGGCGAGTTGTCCGACTCGAAAAGAGCCCATCATTGGGCCAAAAGTAAATCCCAGACATGAAGAGGAGCAGCTGGGCTCTATGAAAGGGGACCTGATATGCCGATTGACCCGGTGCGGAGTCCGGGGAGGAGACGAGTAGCGTCGGTTGGTTGCGCCAGTCAGAGAGAGTTTGGGGGTGATGACTGATGAGTGATGACAGCAGCTCCAGATCAATTCCAGGCTCCACCTCGACGATGTGAATCCGGGGTTCACTTCTAGAGTTGCAACTTGCGCAATTCCAGGCTGTCAATGATGCAGACATGTTCTGGAGACAGGAAAGAATGGGCCGAGAGCCACGTGCGGCTGTACGCTGTCATGAAGCATGGCTGCTGCTAAGTATCTCTCACACGGAAGATTGCGGAAGGTTTGTATCTTTTCAAGGTTGTCTCCGTACTCCGTATCATGCTGGGCAATTTACCTACTTGGCTCTGGCTGGCAACTCAAGGGTCTTACTAGAATGGGAATCGTCTCAGCATCCGATCACGGGACACAGCTGAAGGAAATGGGGCTAACCTGACCAGGCTTAGTTATCTCTACCCCGCGGTGGCCTCAGGAAAATGGCAGATATTTGGCTAGTTTGTCCTGTTTGTCCTGTTTGTCCTGTGCCCGATGTGTGCCTTGGTGCCTTGGTGCCTAAGTCGTGTACCTGGTTGTCATGGGTGATGGAATCAGCAATCATCATCAATCATCATCATCATCATTGATGGCCAGAGCTCAGCTCTGCTGCGGCTGAGCTGAAGATGTGGTGCCTGAGGAAAAGTCCCGATCAAACTTGTTATCGTGCCAGTCTAATCTCCGACACTGTATTTTCAGCTTCTCCCCCTCATTCAATGATTTCTACTCACGAGGGAGTACTGATCTAGTTCCCCGATCGGCAATGTGCACACACTAGACTCCATTGCAGCAATCCTCGTTCCTCTGACACCGCAGATGAAACAAGCAACAAATCGACTTAGACTGATCCGATCTGTCTAGTTCATTCCAGCTTGTCTCTGATCCACTCGCCCCAGCCACCTTTCCACCTCTCATTGGCCCTGTTCAGCTATAATAGTCACTGACTTCATAGCCCTCCCTGCCTTGAGCAGCAGCCAACTCATCACTCGAACCCCTCCCCTTCTCTCGTCCAAATATTTTCCTGCGGTTCATGCCTCTTCACCATACATCTCCATGGCCAGTATGATGCATAGGCCTCAAACTCAGAAGCCCAAGGAGGGCCAACGCAAGTTCTCCCCTCCTGGCCCGACTTATATGTCCGACGACCAGATCGGTATGTTTACAGTGCCGCGCCAAAGCATTCTCTTCCCCATCCAGCCTTTATCGATCTCATTCGGGCTGTCACCGCTTCGGATCGAGGTCTCCATGCTGATCTTCGACCTACAGCGACCTATTTGAAAGATCTGCGGACTAATCGTCCTACACGTCCTGGCGGATCCAGGCCGCTTCCCGTAAGACCTGCTGCGGCGCCTACTCATCCTCATGATGATTTACCTCCGCGAGCGGCATCGGCGATGTCGTCTTATGGCCCACCGAGGATGCAGTCTAGCCCTCCCTCCCCAGAGGCCAGATTCCCTCGGGCCACCAGTTCGCTCTCTAACCATAGACCAGCCTCCGCTTTGGGAGGTCCCACCGGACGTCCTTTGGTCCAGGAGCCGAGAACTATCCCACTTAGGCAAACTGTATCACCCGCGCAGGTTTTCTCGCGAGTGGAACAAATTCCCCCACGGCCTACATATCGTGAAAATCCCCAGCGACGCATAGAGAAAGAAGAGGCAAGATCCTTGCGTGATGCATTGCAGGAAATGGACCTCCATGACGAACATGATCTCCACGCTGCTGCCCAAGATGAGGCCACGGAACTGGTATGGATGCATCAAAATCCAGGTATACCGTATAAGAACCCCTATGCACCTTACCAGAATCCCGATCTGCAAGATCTCCAACAAAGCCCTCCAAGAAGTAGCTTCGCGTCTCAAAATGGCGGTCCTAGCTCCCCCACAGTACGCAGGGACAGTCGTCGGCTTATGTTCCAGGGATCGACTGTTAGCCATAGTGGGACGAACGGCTTTCGGGGAAGTGAAAGAAAGTCCTCAGTCGATGGAGCTTCACACACCATCTTGGAAGAAGGGTCAAGCCCGACGAAAAGTCCGACCAAGGGAGGGAGCCTGCGAAGAAGCATGAAGGTCAATTTCGCACTCCCTCAAGAGGGTGAATCAACGGTGACCCCGGGCGATAATCATGGATTAGGCTCGGCTAGTGTCAGGAACGAAACATCCAGAGGCATCTTCAGAAACCCGGACGACCAAATCTACGAAGAGCCCCATCTTTCTCCTCGGAAGGATGAGGGTAGTCGTTCAATCTTCTCTAGATCTGATTCATCTGCTTTGAGGAGCAAGCCCCGGAATGCCCTTCCTCGCGGGTCCCGACCTCTGCCTGGTCGCTTTGGTAGTCTCTCATTCGTTGATAAGCTTTCTCGCTTCGAGATCCATAAGAATCCTCCGAGTCAAACGAGAAATCCTGAGTATACGACGAACGAGCCTCGGTCCCAAGAAGCGCCGCCTGAACCTGAGGCACCTCAGCAGCAGATTCCAACGAAAGATGGCCTTGAGATCCGCAGTGACGAGCTTCGAGCTGCAACGAGCAAGAAGCTCAGGGATCGCAGCACCAGGCTTCCCATGCCCACTGCGGTGAGCGACCGAGCCGGTCGGCCTATAGTGAGTTTTGATCCCAGATGGAAACCTACCGAGGCACAAAGCCCTCCCAAGCGCGACAAGGGCTGGGATGCAACACCACAACCGCTGCCTCCAGCGCCCACGATCGAAGTGTCCGAAGCACCATCCGTCCCGGTAATAAACCTACCGGACGATAAGGAGCCTAGAATTTCTGAGATCTCTGGCTCTCGCGGGGGCTCCGGAATGGCTGTGAAGCCATCACCAACTCCGCCAAAAAGTAATGCAGGCCTGAGCCGGGCTCCTCCAAAGACTGCGACGACCTCAGCGAGTCGTTGGCTATCGACTTATACACGCTCCGGGGTACCTACTGCCAAGTGCGAGAGCTGTACACTTCCGATTGCGGGGAAAATTGTGACTGCCGCGGGCACTCGATTCCATCCCGAGTGTTTTGTGTGTCATCATTGTCAGACACCTCTGGAGTGCGTGGCGTTCTACCAAGAGCCCGATGCGAAGAGAGCCGAACGACTAGCCGAGTCAGCGGCCGATGATGAAGAAGCTCGAGCGTTGAGATTCTACTGTCACCTCGACTTCCACGAGTTGTTCAGCCCCAGGTGTAAGAGTTGTAAGACACCGATAGAAGGGGAAGTGGTCGTGGCGTGCGGGGCCGAGTGGCATGTCGGCCATTTCTTCTGTGCTGAATGTGGTGATGTACGAGAACCCCCCAAACGTTCCTAAATCCTGCGCACTGCTAACCTTTACTTTTTTTTTCCCTGCTTCCAGCCCTTTAGCTCAGAGAAACCATTCGTGGAAAAGGATGGATTTGCGTGGTGCTTGCAATGCCATTCCCGCCGGACCGCCCCCCGCTGCCTCGGCTGCAAGAAGCCCGTCCTGGACGATGTGGTGATCTCCGCCATCGGCGGCCAGTGGCATGACCAGTGCTTCGTCTGCCACGAGTGCGGCGACGGGTTCGGGCCCGAGGGGCGGTACTTTGTCCGCGAGGGCGAGCCCAAACGAACGGCCAAGGGCCGCATCATCGGAGGCCCCGTGCAGCTCGCCGTGTGTGAACGCTGCGAGGGCATCCGACTGAAAGCATCCCCCTGAGATTTTCCCACCCGAACAAAAACACCTTTGACAGCTGCGAATCCTGGTTCGATTCGTGTTGCTTCATTCTTTTCATGTCGAGAGTTGGTTGCAAGTCAAATTCTCCGCAATCCACCGCTTCCTCCCCGCGTCACAGTGCGGCTCATTGATTGAGACACACACACACACACACACACACACACACACACACACATACAACTGCTGATATATTTTTTGGGCCAAGTGCGCCAACCCTGATCTTTCTTGAATTCATTTTGCATTGATTATTTGCCAGCCCAAGTTGACTACTAGAAATCCACCATATCAATATGCATAGCAGCAAGCGGGAGTTTAGCACGCGAAGTATGTTTTCTGGACGAGGTCTGAGCATGAGAATGTTGTTTTGCCGTTTGTGGTAGTGATGCTTTTTCTTTTCTCCGTGATTTTGTTTTGGCGGTTTGTTGCTTCTCCTTTTCGAATATCATGACAGCTGGGATGCCATTTCTTCAGAGAGTTTATCTGTCGACAGACTCTTGAACTACAAGACGAACCGTAGATCCCCAGAGGCAGTCGCCTACATCGAAATAGACACACAGAAATTAATCCAGTTCGCAAGCATATACAATTCGTCTATATAACTTTTCCGCTAAACCCTTCCTCCCTCTCCCAGATAAATCATACTCCCAGGACAAAACGATGCGCGCTAAGCGCTAAGCCGGCCAAGCGGGGTCCTCCTTCCTCCGGAACACGGCGACATACTTATTGCCCTTGTTGCGCGTGACCTTCTTCGACTCCTCCGTCTCCTCGCTCATGACGCGCACGCAGGGGTCCTGCGTCAGCTCCTCGTCCGTCAGGCGCTCGAACAGCTCCTTGACCGTGCCGACCGCGCCATCGACGGCCTCGGCGTCCTCGCCCTCGCGGAAATGCCGCAGCACCCAGTGGTGGTACTCCTCGACGTCGGTGATGGTGTAGAGCAGGCCGCCGGGCCGCAGGGCGTAGGCGTACTCGGCGTTCAGCGTCTCCGAGACGATGCGGGCCTTGTGCTTGCGGGCCTTGAAGTGCGGGTCCGGGAAGCAGATGAAGATCTTGGACAGCTGGTGCTTGGCGAAGAAGTTGGGGAAGAACTTCATCGTGTTGCTGCGGATCGCCGTGATGTTCTGGTAGCCGCCGGGAACGAGGGTGGTGGCTTCGGTGGTTTCGGTGGTTTCGTCGGTGGTGGAGGGGGTTTCAGTGGAGGTCGGTTCGGCTTCCATGGCGGTGGGTTCGGTGGTGGGCGCTTCGGGGACTGCGTCTGCTGTGGCTTGAGTGGTGGTGGTGGTGGTGGTAGTGGTGGAGGTGGATGCTTGGGTCGACTGGAGTTGCTGCTGCTGGGCGCGGAGGGCTTGGATCCGGGTGGACAGGTAGTCGAGGACGGAGACGCGGATTTCCATTCCTGTGTTCGCCGACAGCACGTTAACTCTCTGCTACTTTGCGGTAAAGGATATACCCTGCGCAAATATGATAGACAACGAACAACAACAGGGTAATACATACCAACCATCAATGTCTCCGGCAGCAACGGCGCAAGACCGACGAGCAGCCCACCGAATCCACACCCGATATCCACGATCTCCACATCCTTCAGCAGCTGGCGGGTGCCGATGAGGTTCGTCTGCGATGGGTCCGGGTTCACGTAGGCAGGGAAGTGCGAGGCCCAGTCCATATGCGCCGGGCTGAGGGGACTATTCCACAAAAGAAGTCAGTCACCCTGTAGTCGAGGATAGAAGACACCAAGAAACCCAACATACTATTGCAACTGATGATCCGAGAACGGATTCGCATGCGCCCGCTGACGGTAGAACTTCTTCTTGGGCAGCTTGACCCGAGCGGGGAGGCTGGTCTCGTTGGTGGTGGTGGTGCTGCTGCCGCCGTCGGGGTTCGTAGCGGCTGCCTGCTTGCGATACTCATCGCGCTTCTGGCGTTTGGCAGGTGGAGGAGTCATTGTGATTGTGGTCTTGCAGCGTTGACTCGATAATATATACCTCCAATGCGAAAAGGTGGGGAAGATACACTCCAAAACAACCCAATTGTAAATCGGTGCAGCGGGGGAGGGAAATGGAAGGTGGTGACGGCCGGGGGCGAAGGCGGAAAATTCTCCAAAGCGGAGAGAAAAGAAAGGGAGGGAGAGCGGAAAGTTGAGTTTAGCTCCCATCGCGGGGCTCCTGCTGCTTGCTGCCGCCGCCGCCTTTGCTTATCGATACCGGCGGTATCAGTCCATCGACTCAGCTTCTGAACAAAACAACCACCAACTATCTCATCATTCAAACCTAACACTTGCAGAACGATCTATCCCAGCTACAGTGGGGCATTCATAGCACAAACTTGCTACAGTACACATACAGTCACATACCATACCCACAGACAATGACAACCGCCCCGCCGCCCTTCCAATTCCCGCCAACCTACTCCTTCCCCCCCTTCTTCACCCCGCAACCCAACAGCGCCACGCGCACCTCGCAGCTCCAGAAATGGTCCGCCCTGATCCAGTCGTGGTGTCGCCATCACCGCACCTACCGCCTGACGCTCAGTGAGGCCATCGAGAGCCCGCTGTTCTACAACGCTGCGCTCCGGAAACGGCTGTCCATGAAAGACGCGCGGGATGTGCTGGACTGGATGGCCAAGGGGGAAGAGGACGGCGGCGGCGGAGGACAGCGGGCGGAGT